GACTGCACCCTGGTCCTTCATAAAGATGAGCACAGGGTACGACAGGACATTCGAGTCAACCACAGTACCGAGGGCCATGCCCTGCATGCCTACAGGAAGGTACTATCAGGATACGACAGGACAGGCGCTTTAGGCCCTTTCGGACCTGACAGAGCCCGAATAGTGTTGTAGGCGCCGACTTTTGTCCCACAGTGTTGTAGGCGCCGTCATCAGCCCTCGGACGCAGATACTAACACAAGCATACGACAACAACTACGATCCAAGATAGAACTTACATCATCTACTGTGATGGACGCATGGTCACTTCCTCGTCTACTCCCCGAAGGGTCACAGCTCGACACTCTGGCACGCCGCACCATCCGCCGGTATAGGATGGGACGCACCCATTTGCCAAAGGAGGCCAGGGCACGGCCCTATAATGATCAACGAGCACGCCATCCCTGCCACGGTCTGTCATGTTAGCAGGGCAGGCACAGGGAAAAAGGAAGACCCAACTCTCTCGATGGATCTTCTCTACTTTTGGTTTTTCCTCTTTCTCCCATCTTTAACCCCTGCTCCCCCTTGGTCTACAAAAGGGAGGACATGACACCCCACTAAGGGCATCGATCGTTTTGATATGCAAGACAACGAATCAATTCCACACACACAACGCACAGCCAAGCGAGCAACCAAGCTCTTGGCGTCCTTTCGACCTTTCCATCAGAGACTTGGGACATGTCCCTCTCTCGATCGTTTGTACCCCTACTACGAACCTTTTTCGATACTAATAACACGAGCAGCAGCAAACTGGACGTAAGGACATTCTGCCCGAATCGGTATAAACTTTATGTCATTGAGTACACCATCCGAGCCTAACGCGCAACAATTATACATTTACTAGTTGGTGTTTGTTCGAAACACCGACACATATGCTTTGGTATAATACTTAAAATTGAAGGCCCTCTATCTTTGTTAATTTGCAATTCATAGAATAATATGTGTTTCTTTGTTTTTTTCTAAATTTTTTTGTCATCTGAATTTTTCTATTTTGATATGTTTGATTAATTGAAGGCTCAAATATTTTGTTATTTTGCAATTCCTAATAAAATTTTGGATTTTAGTTACTAATTCAGAAAAGCTATCATTTACTTGAGTAATTTGTTTACATTCATCGCACAAATTCTGGCCCATCCGATTTGATTTTGCCCCCCGTCGTGATGTCCTATACGGTGTCCCGTTTATTTTAAATTTTGCTCAATGAGAACACATGCGCTGGGTACGTGGTGTTTGGTAGGTAGACCCTTTGGTCATTGGGATGGTCGCTGCTTTCGTGAACTGACTCTCAATTACCTACCTAGTTCTAGTACTATGTATTATTATATGGACTATGAATTAATTTTTCTATTTATACTAGAGTTCAATTATACTTACGGTCCTTATTCACATGTAATTGATAAGTATTATGAATGTATGTAATACTAATTAAAAAAGTATATTAGGCACATGTGGGTCTCATAGTTTTATTGCATTGTACTGTACTTACTTTGATTTGTTTGTTTGATTCAATGCCATCAAAATCATTTTGTTTTTTGTATTCTGTCGATGAGAAAAGTAATCAACAAGTAAATATTTATAGTTTTGCCGTGCGTTATGATCGGATGTGGCCTAGCACTCAATGACACATGATTTATACTGGTTCAGGCAACGTGCCCTACGTCCAGTTTTAATCGGACGGTGACTTTATTCTGAGCCCAGGTGCTCGAAGTTTGCTGTGAGAGTTACAAATGAATAGGAATGAGAAAGGGGGTGTTAGAGGTCCTGTCGGACTCCGATCTGAGTGGCCGAGAGTGACGGATGCTCTAACGTACGCTAAGTATTAGACCGTATGCTCTAAGTAGCTGTCAAGTTCTAGAGCTATTGAGCTGTTCGAGTCCTCATGTCATTGAGTCCTCAAGTTGTCTAGCCCTTTTTTCCTTTTTCTCCAGCCCTCTTTTAGGAGAGATCCCATCCCCTTTTATGGTTTAAAGGGATGGCCTTACAAGTTAGAAAGAGAGAGAGTGTGTATGTGTGCTATATAGTCTTGTTGCCCACGCTGTCGAGTACAAGACGGTCGTCGACGCCCACAATACTATTTATGGTTCGGACACATCTGGCAGGCTCTACCGTGTTCGCTTGGTACGGCAAACGTCGGCGCCTACAATATTGTTTGTGCTCTGACGTGTTTGGAAGGTTGTATGGTGCCCGTCTGGCATGGTCTGGTGGCACCGTCCTGCAGGTGCGCAGGGCATGGCAGGGTACGGTCCTCGGTATTGCGGTTGACTTGAGCGCCTTACCTTATCTGCTCCGCCTGATCCCCGGACCCTCACCGAGCGGGCATCCCCGGTCAATCGTTCCCCGTCGGTCCCGACCGTGTCTGTCGGAAAAGAGCAACGAGCAGAGGTCTAGCATATCCTCGGTCAGAGAAGGAGGTCGGAGCCGGAGCTGCGGTCCCACCTTGGCCAGGCCTTCCGTTTAGGGACCGAATCATTGTCCCGGCCTGTCATTATGTACCTAGGCCAGCCCAGGCGCGTGTTGTTGCTGCGCCGCCTGCTGGGCCAGGTTTTACAGGGATGCGGGTCCATTTGGGACCCGGGTTTATGAACCCGACACATTCCATAGAAAATTTTTGCTTTTTGTACTTTGTATATTTTTTGTTTTGTTTGTTTCATGCAATGCTCTTATATTGTTTTTGGTATTTGCAATCCATAGAATTTTTTTTTTTTGTATTTTGCTTATTTTATTTGATATGTTTGGTTTATCCAATGGCCTCGAAATGATTTTTGGTTTTTGTATTCCATAGAAATTTTTTGTTTTCTGTAGATTGTTAATTTTCTTGGTTCTTGCAATGGCCTGAGAATTTTGTTTTTATAGTTTTTTTTGTTTGTTTTATGTCCGACTACTTGGATCTCACTAATCGGCAAGGTGTAATGGTTATTTGAAGTTTATTTTTCCTATATTAATTCATGTTTTATTCTATTTTTTGAAATGTCATTCAAGTTTTTTCATTTGCAGTTTTGATTTTTTGATTATGTATTTGTTCCTTGTCATCTTGCTTTCTTCTTGGCAAATTTACTTTTTTGTGGAGTATGAATTTTTTTGTTTTCATTTACACTAGAATTGAACTATACTTACAGTGCTTAATTAGGTGTAATCGCTATGTATTATTGATGTAGGTAATACTAAGTGAAAAAATTTAGTAGTTGATTTGTTTGATTCATCCATAGAGCAATTATTTTTTTGGTTCTTAGTTTTTTCTAGGGAAAATTGTCCATAGGACACCTAAAATGACCTCTCTTTACTGGCGGACACTGAAAATAATCAGATTTGCTGAAAGACACTATGTTTTCTGCAAAATATGCTAGCGGACACTGCGCCTATTAAAATATTTATTTCTGATTTTGGAGCAGAGACAAGAGTGATGGAATGTCATTTTTCCCCTGCCTTCTTCTTCCCTCTCCCTTTTCTTCTCTCCCCTGCTCAATGACGCCCCTCCCTTTTCTTCTCTCTAAATTTAGAGCGGCAGCCGCCGACGAATAAACAATGCAAGCTCCTCAACTAAATACAAGTACGACTAGCAGTAGTAGTAGTTTACGTAGTGCTGCTACACGGGACAGGACGTGATCTCCTTAATTAACACAATGCTTTGCATTGATTCGATCTGATTTGGTTTGGTTTAGGGGTTTTCTTCTACGGTCGTGTGACGACGCCAACGTGCTCCACGGCGGTACGCATGACGCCCTCCACCAGCTGCGGCATGCACGCCTCGCCGACGACGCCGGGGCTGCACCCGACGCGGAGGCCCATGCCGGACATGTACTTTGCACCTCGGCGCGGATCATCTCCTGCATTGCGGGCACCGATTCGCCGGCCGAAGCAGGTACGACGACGACGGCCGAGACGAGCAGCTGCCCCTGCGGCGCGAAGGAAGGCGGCGGCGGTGGAGAGAGGCTGCGGGCGACGGGGGCGTGATGGGGAGAGAGCTCTCGAAGTGGCTCATGCATGTCGTGATGGAACCCCAACGACGCCTGGTGGTCCAGCCCCGGCAGCGAGAGGGACAGCGAGGTGAGCGGGTCCTCGTAGTCTACTGCTGATGCTGGCGGGGGAGGCGGAGGAGGGCGCAGAAAGAAGAAAAGGGAGCTCCGGCTGCGCGCGTCAATGGCGGTCGGACTTAGCGAGCGCAGAGAGCGGATCGAGGCCGGACCGAGGAGGAGCGGATAAGGGTGGGTAGGTGAGGGCTGGTCCTCGGATTGCTCGGTCGCCACCCGGTGCTGCGATTGCGTAGCGCCGGACTCCGTGGTGCCTTTGGATGGAGCGCGATGAGTCTACCGCCACGTGGGGCTCATGCTCTCTCAGTGAGCGAGCAGGGGAAAGAAAAAAAGGGAGAGGGAAGAAGAAGAAGGCTGGGGCAAAAATGATATTTTGCCGCTCTTCTATCTCCTCCAAAGTCAGAAATGAATATTTTAATAGGCGCAGTGTCCGTCAGCATATTTTGCAAAAAATAGAGTGTCTTTCAGCAAATCTGATTATTTTCAGTGTCCGGCAGCAAAGAGAGGTCATTTTATGTGTCCTATGAACAATTTTTCCTTTTTTCTATCATTTGTTCTTGTTATTTTGAATATTTAATTTACAAGGTTTATTGTATTTATAATTTAGCAAATTCTTGCTGTTTTTTATCGTGCATGAAGGTGTTTCAAGGGAATGCAAAATTCATGTGATTTCAGCTCCTGTTTCACTCGAATTCCGGTTCTAGTTAGTTTTGAGTGATTTGACCTTTAGAATTACTCGTGTGATCATAAGGCCTCTATCACTCAGATTTTGTTTTTTTTTCTATTTGTGTGATTTGTTTCCTCAAATTGCTTGAGTGATGAGAGGGGTGAAATCACCCTAGTTCCAAATAGACAGATCTTATAACAATAGCTAAAACAACCAGATATACGTGAACAGACAAGCGAAAGGGGAAGAAAAATGTTGACCTAAACTTGTCACGTGAATTCGAATTGCGCGTAGCCGCTCGCGGCCACGTCGAGCAGCGCGGCGAACACGTCCGGCATGTCGGGCCGCTCCTGCGGCGCGTCCGCCGTGCACCGCATGCCGAGCATCAGGAGCTCCCAGGACACGGTGCCAACGGCCGCCGCCTTCTCCGACGACCGCCACCCTTCTCTGGCCATCCGCCGGGCCCACTCCACCAGGCACTCGTCCTCGGCGCCGTCCACGTCCACGGCGCGTCGGCCCGTGGCGAGCTCCATCAGGAGCACGCCGTAGCTGTACACGTCGCCCTTGGTCGTGGCGCGCCACGTCTGGCCGTACTCGGGGGCCACGTACCCGACGGTCCCGGCCACCACCGTGCTCACGTGCGTGTCGCCGGGCCGGACCACGCGGGCCAGCCCGAAGTCTGTCACCCTGGCGCGCCCGTCCCGGTCCAGCAGCACGTTGCTGGCCTTCACGTCCCGGTGCACCACCGCGGGGCGGCACTCGTGGTGCAGGAACACCAGCGCGCGCGCCACGCCGATCGCCGCGTCCAGCCGCCGCCCCCACCCGAACGCGGCCGTGTTGCCGATCAGCGACTCCAGATTGCCGCCGTCCAGGTACTCGTACACCAGGATCTTGGCCGACCCGGACAGGCACCACCCGTAGAGCGCGACGAGGTTCGGGTGCGGCCACGTCGACCCCATCCGGTCGGCGAGCACCTCCATCTCGGCGCGGAACTCGCGCTCGCAGTCGCCGTCCCGTGGCCTCGCCAGCTTCTTCACGGCCACGGTGCGGCCGTCGGGGAGCACGCCGCGGTACACCACGCCGTAGCCGCCCCGCCCGATCACCAGGTCGTCCGAGAAGTTCCCCGTGGCGGCCACGATGTCGCGGTAGGTGAACGCCGTCTTGCCGAGCTGGAACACCTTCACCCCCTCCGTCGAGGACGAGCACCCGGTCGCCGACGACGATGACCCCGACGGTGGCGAAGACGTCGTCGACATCTGCAGAGAGCACTTCCCGGAGCTCCACTTGGGGTTCTCGCACGAGAACGACTCGGGGTCCGGGTCTTGGTCCACAGGGAACCGCGCACGCAGATTGGCCATGAAGAACACGAAGGCACCGGTGACGAAGGCGGCGAGGAGGGAGAACAGGAACCACGCCGCGAAGCTTCTTGGAGTCATGCCGCGCCTTCGAGCATCCGCAGCTTCCGGAGGTGTCTGCTTACCGGTGCCCGTCCCGAATGAAATGAGTGGGTCGCCGAGGAAGGATTGCTCGTCGAAGGTGCCGAATTGGGCGGTGGTGGGGACGGTGCCGGTGAGAAGTGGGTTGTAGGACACGTTGAACTTGGTCAGGTCCGTGAGCTGGCTCAGACTCCCCGGCAGCTCGCCGGAGAAGTTGTTGTAGGAGAGGTCCATCATCTCGAGGCAAAGAATGCGGCCGATCTCCGACGGGATCGCGCCTGAGATGTTGTTTCTCGAGACATTCAGCACGATGAGCGGGAGCCTGCTGATCTCCGGTGGCAGCTGTCCGGTGAGCCGGTTGTCGTCGAGGTGGAGCAGGCTGAGGTTCACCATCGCGCCGATCGCCGGAGGTATGTCTCCGGATAGCTGGTTCCTGGAAAGCTGAACGTATCCAGAGGTCGTGTAGGACCTCACCGGCGACGAGGAGTTGGTGCAAACCGGAACGATGCCGTATCCCTTGAGGATTCGGTCCCATATGCTGCGGCAGTTCGCCCGAGTCAAGATGGAGTACACGAAGCTGAAAGGGGGATAGCTCGCCGGGATCCACCGCCTCATGGCTTGACAATCGCCGGAGCCTGCGAGCACGCTGGAACTATTCCGGTTCTTGGCGAACGTCGGGCCGGGGTTCTTCCCTATGTTTGCCATCTCCAGCGGGATGCTCCCTGTCAGCTTGTTGTCGGCCAGGTTCAACCAGAGCAAGCTGGTGCATTTGCCAATTTCCGACGGAATCTCTCCGGATAGCTGATTCCCAGCGAGCATCAGCCACAAAAGCGACGTGAGGTTCCCAATGGTCGCCGGTATCTCGCCGGAGAGGTCGTTATACGACAAGTCCAACGCTTGGAGTTCGGTGAGACGGCCGTACGCCGCCGGTATGCCGCTGGAGAATTGGTTGTGGGCAAGCATCAGATACTTGAGGCTCTTCATGTCAGACACCTCAGGAGGGAGCTCGCCGGAGAACTCGTTATAGCTGAGGTCCAGCCTCGCGAGCAGCGGTAGGTGGAGCACGCCGGAGGTGACGATGCCGCCAGTGTAGTTGTTGTGGTGCAGCACAAGGTACCTCAGACTCGCAAACTTGCCAAAGGTGTCTTGCACGTCCCCTCCAAACATGTTGCTGCTGATGTCCAAGAACTGAAGCTTCGTACAGTTCATCAGGGCCAGCGGTATCCGGCGATCGAAGCTGTTCTTCCCGAGAACCAGCGTCTCGATCGCGCCGAGCCTCCCAATTCCGGACGGTATGAAGCCGTTGAAGTCATTCCCCCACAGAGACAGGTACGTCAGGTTCGCGCACTTGGCGATGGAGTCCGGGAAGCTTCCAGTCAGGTAATTCGCTGACAGGTCCAAAGATTCGAGCCTGCAGCCGTCCGGGAACGTGGCCGGCGGGACGCTCCCGGTGAGATTGTTCTCGGCGACGCTGAACTGCCTGAACCTCGCGACGCCGGGCCACAGCTCGCCGGTGAAGTTGTTCGAGCTGAGGTCAACGTACTCGAGCCTGGCGCAGCCGTCGAACATGCCGGTGATATTGCCCGTGAGCGCGTTGGTGGAGACGTTGAAAACGGCCAGGTCGCCGGCGCACATCGCCGTGAAGTTGGCCGCGACGCCGCCCGACAGCCGGTTCCCCGACACGTCGAGCGTCTGCAGCCTGGTGAGGCCGGACAGGTCCAGCGAGCCGTTGATGAGGTTGTGGGAGAGGTTGAGGCGCACGAGGCCGCGGCATTGGCCGATGTCCCCGGCCGCGGAGATGGTGTTGTCGGAGAGGTCGAGCTCGGCGAGCGTGGGCAGCCGCGAGAAGTTGCCGAACGCCGGGCCGGAGATGCTGGAGCGGGACAGGTCCAGCGACGTGACGCGGCCGGACGCGTCGTCGCACCGCACACCGGCCCACCCGCACGGCGACGCGTCGGACTCCTGCCACGCGTCGTAGGCGCCGCGGTTCACCCTGTTGTTGTCCTGCAGGAAGCGCTTGAGCTCCACCAGCACCTCCTTGTCGTCGTTGCCACCGCCGTCGCTCTGCCTCTGCGCGCCGGTGGGCACCACCGCCACCTCACCTTCAGGAGCAGACACGATCGCCACAGTTAGACGCGAAATTCGACTCCCACGAGGGGAGCACGGCAGCTCAAGAACCAGAAGACTAGAAGAGAGCAAGAACAGGGGGCGAGGGGTCTGGCATGGGAGCACCGAATCCTAACCTGCGACGAGGAGCAGGACGAGGAATCCGAGGAGCAGGGGAGACATGGCCTTGCTTCCGGAATCATGGAAGACGCGGAGGCGAAGCGGAAGCACCGGCGACGGGGACGACGTGCCGAGCGGCGAGCAGCCTCCACATCCACACGCGCGTGCGCTCTCTCTTCCTCTGGTTCTCCACGGGGAGAGATGTAAGCAGAGAATAAGAGAAAATCTTTGACACTTATCGCAAGTTATCTAATGGCCCGAGGCCCGCATGTGGGCGACGACGAGCAGGCCAACCGCCAGTCAGTCGACGGTGTTTTCCTTTTCCAACGAATCAGCATCAGCTGAGTTTATCAGCTTAAAAATCAACTAGCGAACAGACCGAGCCTAGCATTTGAATGAAAATTGAATCCTGCGTTTACTGGAAACCACACTGCTCGTGCTCAATTCGTTTGGGTTTACCGGTTGTGGCTTGGGTTCAACTTTTTTTAATTGCTAAGTACCTGTATAATGCTGAATTGCTGACTGCACAGGGGGCAGATGAGAAAGAGAAAGGGGCAACTAGCTTGCTTGCTTGGGCAGTGGTCTTTGAATTTGTCTCCTTGCTTTCCGAATTAGGCCTGGACTTGTCACCATATTGTATAATAATTTCACCACTTGCTAAAACCTCCACATGTTGGTTGTGTGGGTGGGTGGGGGGGGGTTGATGAGGACGACTTTTCTCTGCCGTCAGTGATCTGAACTGTTCAGTAGAATCGGATGGTACACAGTTTCTCCCAGACACTACACCCCTTCACGCACTGGGCCTCGGCCCAACAACGACGTTGCCTAGAGGAGATATGGCCGAGCCCAAGATGCTCGTTGGCCTGCTTTTTGCCCTTTCGCTTCGCTCGAGCTCCGTCGAGCCAATCACCAGCGTCGCTGCTGCACAAGATGCTTCGCTCAAGATGCCCGCCGGCAGCGGTGCTGCTGAACAAGCTTGCTCTCACCGCGTCCGACTCTGCCTCCGCGCTCGTCACCGCCGCCACAGCTGCCTGCATCACGGACTCGCTCGACCTCGCCGTTGCGTTGCCGCTGCGCTCCCGCGACAAGGCCGCAGTGGCTGCTGCTTCCGCGCCCATCGCCGTCGCGCTCGCGGCTCTGATCGACTGCTGCGTCGCGCCGCTGGCCCGCGTTGCCGCGCTGTCGTGCGAGGCCGCGCGCGGAGACGACACGACCTTCGATGTGCCGGCCTCCGGCGACCGGATGTCCGCCACCGACGACCATGGGGCGCAGGGCCTGCAGCCACGAAGCCGGAGCGTCGCGGTATTACAGATGTGAGCGCCGGCGAGGCGAGGAACGCCATCGCCATAACCAGCCACGGGCTGGCAGCGTCTGCGGCGACGGCGCCGTCTTGACCGCTATGGTGGGGGCGGGGAAGGCGAGCTCTGGCGAGGTAGGATCCTACTGACGTGCCACGCCGCCGGATCAGAGAGGAGAGGGGAGGGGAGCGCCGGCGAGGTAGGAAGCTCAGAGCGTCGCGGTGGCGGTCGGCTGGGGAGAGGAACGCCAACCCGGCCATCGGTGGCGGCGGCAGAGTCAACCAGGGATACGTGCGTCGTGATGTTGGGCCGGCCCAGGAAGCCAAGTGCAGCCGCGCATATTTCTGGCTCCACCGTCAGATAGAAGTGAACGGCTAGATGCACAGCAACTGCAGAGACAAGTCCCTTCGGTCGACTTCAGAGGATCTGGTTCCTGGGTTTATTCAACTGCAAAAACAGCGGTTCGTCAGTGGTTGTGCACGAACGCCTCAGACAGTGACGTTGGCTAAAGAGAAGTTTTAGCGTGACTTGTCCACTGACCTTAGAAAGGTAGTACAGGGTTACCGCGAGGCTTGACTGTAATTAATTAAGGACTGCCGGTAGAACTCGTGTTCTTTTACATTTTGTGTAGCTTTTGACAGCAACTTTGACCATTATTTTCTGTTATATATAACTTATATATATCAAAATATAGTGAGAAAAGTTTGCAATATTGTGGAAATATTTTGATCGGGGTGAGTACAGTACATGTGATGGATATTTTTTCCGTCAGGTCAGCGATGGCAGCCGCCCATGTTGACGACGCCGTACTCCAACGCGACTACTACTGCGGCGGTCTCGCGTCCAAATTTACTCCGAAGCGGAGCGGGGGCCGTAGGCCGTAGGGTCGGGAACTCGGGCAGGGCAGGCGCGACACGCACGCCTCCGCGGGGCGCCGCGGCATGCGTGTGGTGGGCGTGCGCCCGCACTCGATCGAAGGGCACTCCATGAAGTTTCTACACGCCAGTTTGTCAAAAAAAAAGTTTCTAGACGCCAACACCCAAGAGGTAAGGAAGGCAAAGGCCAGGGGGCGCGCGCCGGCAGAAGCGAGTGGCGTCAGGCCTGGAATGTCCCCCGCCCCCGTCGCCGTCGTCCGCGCCCGAAGACCGCCGTCGTAAAGCGAAAAAGCGGTGGGTGGATGGTGGATCCGCGTGGATGAGCGCGTGCGTGGCCTACCAAACCAAGTCTGAGCGCAAGGTCGCATCTGAACGCAGGCAGCTTGTGTTGTGTATTACAGCAAGCAGCAGGAGTACTTTTCATGGAAATTGTACCGCAAGGTCTCCGAGAGGAAAAAGAAAGAGAGGTGACAGAAGAGAAGATGACACTTCGTCGAGCTTGGAAGAAGCGAATCCTGGACATGCATCAAGATGCGAGATATGATGACTGACAGCAGAACCGGGGCAAGAGGGAACACCTTGAAGATGCCCACACAGTCCACAGACCGGTGGGGCGGCGGCTTCGTATCATGAGTGCGTGCGTCTTTTGCATCTGCATCGGTGGGCTCTGCTCGCACACTTGCCATGCGTTCATGCGTTTTGTATGTCCTGATATTGTCTCCAACAACCACGACCTAAAATATAAGACATATTTATTCTTTAAGTAGCGTTACAGGCAAAGAGTTTAATATCTATTTTTGTCTTCTCCAACAACAAAATCTAAAAGATAACCCTTATTGCAAATAGGTCATCAAGAGAGAGGATATTTAAATATAGGTTATGACTTTCCTGACATCTAAAATAAATCTTTCATATAGATACTTTATTGAAAGCTACAGATATTATATAGAATACTCGTTTTAGGTTTTGGTTTTACGGTGGGTCTGCTGTTCAAGACAGCCTTGTCAGCCGTCACGTATCGATAGTACGATTCGGGTCAAAGCGCGGCATACGACCGGACTGAAGCTGATGGACGTACCGACTCTCTTTATACCTTTTGGAGAGTTGACGAGTGGCCGGTGGGAGTGTGGGACTGAGCGGATGAGCGATTCCTCGTCAGCAGCGCGATCGGCTCATCATAAAAGGCTTGACGAACCAAAAGTTGTGGATTCTTTCGCAAAGGGAAGATCGACCCGGCAGGGCGAACTATATTCACTGTGCAAAAAGCAGTAGTTTTCAGCTACAACTTGCTTAGTTGTTGTTAATTATTATGCAGTTCATAGAACTTGCTTATACGTACCATAGAACCGGAACGCAGCATTGCATGCGTGGTTTTGTAGCTCGATGAGGCTTATAACATTTTACGTGAATATAATGGTGATTCTGTGTAGCCAAACCGAAGCAGCTCAAGTTCAGAGTCGTACCGCAGGTTCAACTTTTAATGCCTAGGGGCGGAGCTAGGATTCAAACATTGGAGCCGGTCCGCTAAATGTCTATTAAAATTCATAGAATGTCAGAAATTGGTGTTGAATTAAAACAAATTATTGACCTTGACGTTGGCTTAAAAAACTATATATTTAGTCTTTTCCTTTTCTTTATCTTAGACAAGTGTGAACTGTCTAAATTCAAGATAAAAAACGATATTGTTCATTAAACCAAGGTTCACATCATATTTATTTTATTTGGCCATATAGAATTGTACAATCAAGGAACAAAACTTGAGAAAAAGATAATAAGAAGATATATTTTATTTCTAGTTGAACTTTTATTACCTTAATTGAGAAGATATTTGTATCTATAATCTCTAAAATTAGTAGAACTAATAAAGAGTGTTAGTATATCTCTCACAACTAAAAAAACTAAAGAGTGGACACCGTTTTGGTGCGACATTTCAATGTGGGTCCATCGTCCTGCCTGCTGTGTTCCCGCAGCCTCGCTTTGACGCCCGTGGGCGTCCCTTACGCTATTCAAAAGGAAAAAGCTAAAAGGAAACCGCTCCTGTGATTTAGCCTCGAACCCGGACGCGCGTTGGCGTCCCTTGCGATATTCAAAAGAAAAGAGCGACAAGGAAAACATTTGGAACGTTAACGTCCACCCGGCAGAACGACGTCCTACCCCCGATCGAAGTCCGCCCGGCGCAATAGATGAAAGATCGAAGTCCGCCCAACGCAATAGATGGAAGGAGAATGAGTGTGGCGATTGCATGCATGACCAACAAGGAAATAACCAACGTTGATGGGTGGCGATTGCATGCATGACCAACAAGGAAATAATCAACGTTGATGGAAGGAGATTACATCCGTGCATGCAGGACCAATAAGGGCGTCATTTGTTGCCCGCGTGCCCATTTGTCTTCTCGCACGGTCGATCGGAACTCAGAAGACGCCGCGGCAGAAGGAGTTCGGAGATCCAAACCTACGCAGGCTCGTCGCGGCCGCCGTGCACGCCGTCGCCCAACGCAAGCTCGTCGTCACCGCGAACGCGCCGTCGCCCAACGTAGGCTCACCGCGGTCGCCGCACACACCAACGCCCAACGCACATCGCCGGCAGCAATGCATTCTTCTAGGTTTTTTTCCTCCCACTTACTGTTCATGATCCGACAACTTCAGCGTTGATCCTGCAATCTGAATCCAGCGTGGAATTATGCGAAACATTCTTTGCCTCATGAACCAGACATCCTGAATCTGACAAATATTTGCGCGCGGAGCATACAGCTTGAACTGAAATATTGAGCTAATGTTGTGATAATTGACAGAAATAGATAAGTGCCTAGACATGAACTTAGTAGTTCATACGGTCACACATGGCATTCTGTCATCAGATTGAGGTTGTTGATTCAGGTGTTACATAGTATCATTTTGATCTGTTTAGTTTGTGGTTGTGGTGCTTATGGGAAGCTCACTGATTTTTTTTTTCAAAAATCTAAAGCTTTCGATTGGTTGTATGCCCACCCTTTAGGCTTTCATGTTGTCAGTCAATTAACTATTGCATTGTTAAAGGATGGAATCCAGAGGTGAAGGATATGGATTTTGCTTTTACATTATGCAGCACCTCTTTGCATGGTAAAATTGTAGCAGTCCGACAATTACAAAAACTGAAAGCAGATGCTACTTGTTTTCAAGCAAAACTGAAAACAAATGTTATTCCTATCTCTATTTTTTCTATAGTACAATTTTCTTGCCAATCTGGGTCAGTTCTCTGCGTAGACAAAAATACTGCTTAGGAGTCTGATATTGACATGCTAGAACCCTCCTTGTTTGCCTTTCCTGTTAGTCATATATTGACATGCTGTTGGACTCATAATATGATGCTTAGTTGTGATTCCTTTAGTTCCCTTACATTGTGTGCCTATTACTGATCATACACATAGTGAAGTTCAGTAACTTTCGGTTTTTTTATGCGGAAATTTGCTAAGATTTTTGGTAAGGAGAAAAAGAAACAACTAGCCACAACAGATAGCTTCGCCAGTGAGAATTGAACCTTAACTGTTGACACAATTGATCCATTAAGCACAAATCACTATTCTCCAGATCGACGGATAACTTTCTGGTATGTATACGCAGTCGAATTTTCAAATTGTTCTCACTGAATATGAATAGTGAAGTACGGATTATTAAATTATGTATTTGGCAAAAAAATAATGATCAGATAATTAATAAGAGTATACATTCTATTGCGTGGATCAGTTCTCACAATTTGGGTTTTGAGATTTCACTCCTACTGCACAAATGGTTACAATGAGATGATAAACATTCAAAATTTCTTATTACCATTGTGACTTAAATCTGTAGGTCATTACTGCATACATATGCTTATTAAATGACCAAGATCATCTTAAGAAGAGGTCATTAATGCATACATATGCTTATTAAATCTGCATGTATTTTCATAACTTTTCTGAACTGG